CCTCCTCCTCCTCCTCCTCCTCCTCACCCCTCCCCTCCCTACCATTTCAAAGCCATTTTGTGACGTTGTCAAAGGCTGTGCATTGGGGCGCAACGGCTGCCAAAATCACAAACTTAGTTCTCTCCCAACTTGTTGAGGTAAATATTGAGTTTCATCAGCATGTAACTCACTTTTTGTTGAAACAGATACCTGCTTTCTACTTTTCTTAATGTTGTGTTCATAAAGTGATAAGCCGGAGAGTTGATATTTTGATTCTTGCTCTACATTAATTAAAATTGTCCATACGGCTCGTTCCACGTGTGGTCTGCCGGCCCCAGAAAACCCTCCAAAATGCGATAATTTTACCCAAATCGCCCCGACAAACCACCTGTCACTTTATTTCGAATGTTTTCCGATCAAATTAATACTTATCAACTTGTGTATTTCGGCACACATCCGTTTGTTTCTTCAGTTTTCACCCGTTTCGAAGTAATAGTGTACCAGCAATAAGGTTATGGTACTACTCAATTTTCATCATATTTTTATACATGGGCTTCTTTAAACTTGTGAGGTCGGCCTTTTATGTCAGTCGTAGGTGAGAAACCTATTTAATAACAAAGAGCATTGTTTGCCGGTCATACTCCCTCGAAGATGAATAACAAGACCTCAAGCCGTTTATTACACTAAAAATCTATTTTGATGTTGCAGTGCTCAGCAGAAACTTGGTTTTCCTTCAGTGATCGCCAATACCGACTTTTGCAGCTTCATCTCAAATCAAAGTGAGTAGCTCTGAATTCTACTTTCCGTGTCTAAGAAGTATAGGCGGTATATCATCAATATCTTCTGCTTGCCATTTTCAGCTAGGTCCTTTGCCAAAATGGCTGAGTCTGGGGAGAAGTTATCAAAAAATGAACTTAAGAGAAGGATGAAAGCTGATCAGAAAGCAAAGGAAAAGGCAGAGAAAGATAAGGAAAAGGCTGACCTACCAGCTGCGTCAACTAAGAAACAGACAGCAGCGCCTGTAGTTGAAGAAGAGATCAATCCCTCTGAATACCGGCGTATTCGCTCTCTGGCAGTTAATAAGTTAAAAGAAACAGGGGATCATCCTTACCCTCACAAGTATCATGTCTCAATTTCATTAGATGAATTTATTGAAAAGTTCAGTCATGTGAAAGATGGAGAGATGTTGGATGAGGTTGTAAGTGTAGCTGGACGGATCCATGCTATCCGTGATTCTGGAGCTAAGTTGGTATTCTATGATCTTCGTGGGGAAGGGAAAAAGATTCAAGTCATGGCCAATGCTAAGTTATATGAATCTGAAGAACAGTTTGCTGCAGACATTGGAAAGATTCGCCGAGGTGATATAATTGGTTGTCTTGGCAAACCTGGTAAAACAAAAAAGGGTGAATTGTCCATTATGCCAAGTAAAATCACTCTGCTCTCTCCTTGTCTCCACATGTTGCCTCATTTACACTTTGGAGTGAAGGACAAGGAAACTAGATACAGGCAGAGGTATCTTGACTTGATCATTAATGAAGCCACTCGGAATAAGTTTATTATTCGCACCAAGATTATCTCATATGTTCGTCGCTTCTTTGATCAGATGGGCTTCTTAGAAGTTGAAACTCCTATGATGAACATGATTGCTGGCGGAGCCACTGCCAAACCATTCATTACCCATCATAACGACCTGAAGCTTGACCTATTTATGAGAATTGCCCCTGAATTGTATCTTAAAATGTTGGTTGTTGGTGGTCTAGATAGAGTGTATGAAATTGGAAGACAGTTCCGTAATGAAGGTATTGACTTGACTCACAATCCAGAGTTTACCACCTGTGAGTTTTATATGGCATACGCTGACAGTAATGACCTAATGAAAATTTCTGAAGATCTCCTATCTGGTATGGTGAAAAGCATATTTGGTTGTTATCAAGTTAAGTACCACCCTGAAGGACCAGAAGGCCCTGAAGTCACCATTGACTTCACTCCACCTTTCAAACGCATTTATATGTTCCCTGCTCTTGAAGAGATCCTCAAAGTGAAGTTACCTGATCCCACTAAATTGTCTTCACCAGAAGCTGTGAAGATGCTGAGTGATTTGTGTGAGAAGCAGGGTGTGGAGTGCCCAGCTCCCAGAACAGCTGCACGTCTTCTAGACAAGTTAGTTGGGGAGTATTTGGAGGAAACCTGCATCAACCCATCCTTCATCTGTGACCACCCTCAAATTATGAGCCCCTTGGCCAAGTGGCATCGAAAGACACCTGGTCTTACTGAAAGATTTGAGCTATTTGTCATGAAAAAAGAAGTGTGCAATGCATACACTGAATTGAATGACCCATTTGTGCAGCGAGAAAGATTTGAGCAGCAAGCTAAAGACAAAGCTGCTGGTGATGATGAAGCCCAACTAATTGATGAGAACTTCTGTACTTCTTTGGAATATGGTCTGCCACCCACTGGTGGTTGGGGTCTAGGAATTGATCGTCTTACCATGTTTTTGACCGACTCTAACAATATCAAGGAAGTTCTCTTGTTCCCTGCAATGAAGCCTGATGATCCCAGCAAACCAAAAGAAGATGAAACTAGTGAAAGCTGACGGGGCTGTGATTGCCACCTATGTAAACTCGGAATTACTGCAGATGGCTGTATGCTACTAACAGAAAATGTTTGCTATTCATTTAAGACATCCAGTGTTAAAAGTAGATTTTAGAATTGGAAATTATTTATATTTATTTTTAGCTGTAGTTCCTTGATTATGTTAAATGCGAAATAGATTTGTGGAGTTTGAAAAAGTACTCATTTTAAAATAACCATTTCATATTTATTTTCCTACCACAATATTCACTCAAACACACATGGGCATGTTCATCTGAAATGCCTTCATGGCGTTAGCAGTCCTGAGGACTTAGAGATCACAGTGTAAGCCGATTTGTTTCAAATACCTTAGTAACAAGTGTTAATTAGGGTACATTAAGAAGCAAGCACCAAATTGCTTACTCAAAAGTAAATGTGATATGAAACAAGTAGAAAAAATATATGATACAGTAGAGTAGACATAGTCACGATGTAAAATACAAACAGATGATGACAATATAAAACGGTAATGAAATTATAATAACTCCAGTAAAACTAAGTATACAAGCACTTTTTTTACATAATAAAATCTATTTTGACAAAAAATGCAATTACCATTTGGAATTATGAGAATATAAGTAGGTACATGCACATGAAATAAAGAGGATAAAAGATTACTGTTTAACATACATTTCAATACCCAAATTATATACTTATGTCTTAATAGATAAAACTCAATAGATAAGATTGCATTATATCAGAAGCTACTCCAACCAAATGTCATTCAGGCAAAAGAAGCTCTAATAGGGCTATCAAAATCTATTAATTCTCCATTAGGCAAAGGTTTAGATGGAATTAAACTTTCTCGAACAGGCATTAAGCTTGGGCGATCTGCAAAAATTAAAAATTCTTGTTACACAAAATCATACACATTGTAAAATATGCTTGTAGTTGAAAGTTCTTGTAATACCTTTAGGGGTGATGGGTCTTGGAATAAGAGATGATCTTTTCCTACTCCCAGGAGTAGACATTCTCTGTTTTAGTGGAGTTTTACTTTGTGGCGTTAAAACAGGGGACAACAGAGATGGTGAACCTAGGGCTGCAAAATAAGCAAAAATAGTACAAAACATTCCTCTCCCTTTGATCAAGATTCCCTAGGGATTTCGCTACGAATATGCACTTACATGAATTATCACTGTGATTCAGAACATCAAATGCAACCCTATTGCGAGGCGTATTAATCCTCAAACTTTTTCTGGCAGCTGATTTGAGGATACTTTTGGTCGGTTCTGTTCTCAAAACAGGTGAAGCTGGACTTTGGGTGATTAAATCCTAAATAAAACAAAAATTAACAATTTTACTTGAAAAACTGGATTCACACATTTGGACTTTCAGTTCAAGTCCAACTTGGTTTATAACAGTGGCTTCTTCAACTAAACCACCCATAACTTGGGACACGCTGTCACGCCTTGACCAGCCCTTGGGTTGAGTAGTACCCTCCCATTCGTGGGTCCGCGGAGGCCTGCCCAAGTATTCTGCTATGTTTAGCCCCAGTTCCAGCATATAATTATTTATTTTCATACTCACATTGTTTAAGTCCATGCTCATTCTTTTTCCAATTTGAGAGGCACGCAGTTGTGCACCAACTACTTTGGGTGATGGCGACAGTTGGAGACTTTTATTAAGAGGTGAAGCAGCTGGTGATTGCACTGCACGAACTGCAGAGTGAGTCAAAACCTGCTGTAGCAAACTTCGTCTACCCAATTGGTAAGGAGTAGTAGGCTTGACTTTAGGGCTTCCTAAAAGATGGAAAGGAAAAGCATGAGAATACACCCCAACAATTAAAACAGTTAAATTTTAACAAATTTTTGAAAAAGGGAAATAGATAAAAAAAGGATTTTAAACGTACTTGAAGCAGGGTTTGCAACCAGAGATGGTAGGACCTTTTTGGGACTCTCTACTCGGAAGAAGCCACCATCAAAAGCAGTTACAGCTTCACTTGAAGCAGAGACAGTAGATGCATTAGATGACTTGTTTTGTTTAGCCTCCAGTTTCTTCTTCCTTGCATCTGGGTTGAAAGAAAATGCAGGACCAATAAGATTAGAAATTTAGTACAACTGCTATGCACAAATACTTAACATGCATGAAACTAAAACCAACATACTCTCAATGAGATCTTTTAATCTTGACTGAGCTTGAGTTCTTGGCTTAACAGGTTTCGTGGCAGCTGCAGCAGGAAGGACTTTTGGGATAGATCTTTCCGGTTCCTTTTCCACCCAATTATTTTCTTTAAGATCTTCCAGCTCCTTAAAACGCTTATCCACATTTTCCACCTACATAAATAAATAAATATCCCAATGTTAACACTGGAACTTAATAAAGTCAAAACAAATAGTGCAGTAAAGAGAATTCAGCTACATACTGTAAGCAACATCATTTCCCAAAATCCCGTCAGATCATCGGCAGTTATCTTTCCTTCAGAGTCTCCAGCTTCAAACTTGTCAACAAGCCTTTTGAACTGTTGGAACTTATCCTTAACAAGAAGTCTTGCTTGACCAATTGGGCCCAAAATCTTGTCCTCAATGACTGGAGGGGCCTCAGCTTTCCTCTCTTCCCACAAAGAACTAAGAGTCAGCAAACGGGATGATTCTCGTTCAAGAAGGTTCCTGTAATTTATATCACAGTAAGTACATTGTAGATTACAAAGTATTTGTTATAGAACACAAAATTAAGCAAACAAATAAATAGATAAATTTACCTGAAGTGCTCAATTTGTCTACTTTGAACAAGTTCAGGCGAGAATTCTTGAACCATAGGAATTAGGCTACTTCCTAAAGTTAAAGAAAATAAAATTAAGTATAGGACAGACAAATAAGACTAGCTCATGAGCTGAGATAGTACAACATACTTCTCTTTTGTGTGCTGTATTTGTCTTTCCCACGAGCAGAGGTGATGAAGGGGCTAAATTGGGCAGGAACCATACCTGATGATAACTTGTCAGGGGTAACATGGACAGTGGGAGAGGGCTCATGGATTGACATTCTTCTAGAACTAAGAATAACAGAATCCATCTCATCAATATCAGGCAATCTTGGTGAGATTGTTTTCTCCATAGCAAAACTTTGTCCCACTTCATCAGGAACATTTTCTTTTCCCCTCATGCTTTGACGAGTTTTGCTGCCTGTAGATTTTCTGGAGGAGCCTAGCCTGGGCTGGGAAGACATGTCAGGCATTTCTTCGGCTACAATACTGACAGTGCTTCTGGGTTCCTTGACAACTTCGGTTTTTGATGAGGTTTTCTCAGTCATCTCAGTCACAACAAACATACCACTCCTTCGCAAGGAACGAGACATATTTGGACTTTCCAACTTATCTACCTTAGATGACTCAGAAACTGTAATTGACTTCTTTGGAGTCTTCTCTTTCACAGTTAACTTGGATACTTCTATTGACTTCTTGGGAGTCTTCTCTTTCACAGCTAACTTTGGAGCTACAGACAACTGTTTAGGAGTCTTCTCTTTCACTGTAATCTTGAGGACTTCAGAGGACTTCTTAGGAGTCTTCTCTTTGACCGTTAACTTGGTAGTTTTAAGTGGCTTATTTGGAGACGATCCTTTTGCAGCTAACAGCCTTCCTCTCCTTTGCGATCGAGCTGTTTTAGAGATTTTGGGAGAGGGCTCTTCAGGAGAGCTGTTCAGAATACTAATTCCAGGAATGTGTGGCCAATTTACTTCCTTGAACCCCACTGCTTTTCTGGAAAATAACCAAATAATAACAAGTAATTAGAATACAATTAGAATGGCCCAACAATAAGCTCTAAGAATTTAAACAAAAACCAAAGAAATAATAAGTACCTTTTTAAAGTTATTGGTGTCGTTGGCAAAGTAAGACTAATAGGTGCCTACAATAAATAACATAAATATGTTAAAATACAATCTAAAAAACAACAAAACATACCAGTTGACAAATATTAATATTACCTTAAATTTGTGATTTTGAGGGGCAAATGATGATTCATGGTCCTCTGGGACAGGTTTAGAAGGCTTACAAGATTTCTGTTGGACCTTTGCTTCTTTGGAATTAGCAACACTTGCCGAAGTGTTGGTACGTTTTGAAGGAACAGCAGCAGAAGCCTTTATGTTATTTACAGAGGTAGATACAATTTTCTTTGATGTCTGTTGCGAGCTTGATAAAACTTTTTTAGCTTTTGAATTGCATGCTTTAGGCCCCGCAGCAGCAGCAGCAGCAGTTCTGGATCTAGTAATACGTCCTGAAAATGCAGCACTAGGGGCTTGAACTGCCAGAGCAGCTAAGGAAGCAGCAGCGCCAGAAGGAGGTTTAGCCTTGCGTTTTTCAGTAGCAGCCAAACGCAACTCCGCAGCTAATTTTTTTTGAGTTGCACATTTAGCTGTGGTTTCAGTAAGCTCTTTGTTGGGATCAATTGCATGGTGTGCAATGCCAGCTTTAAATGGAGGCTTCTTTTTCTCCGCAAGTTTCTGGAGAGCAACTAACTTATCTTTTTCTGCTTTCCATCTTGAGAGCTTTTCACGTCTTGTTTCTGTGAGAGAATTGTACACAACTTAATTTCCACACAGTAAACATGATCTAGATCTAGATCCAAAAAATTATTACAATTCGAATGTGGGATTAAACAGGAAAATAATAATGATAAGAGGACTCCCTTTAAGTTTTAAGAAACCAATCTGTGGATAGGGTTTGATAAGTAAAGGTTAAGTCCCTAAAGTGATAATTAGAAATTAACCACTAATGGAAAACAACGCGACTAGGTTAGTCCTATGGCACTTTTGATATACATCTATCAGAACAATTAAGGGTTTTTCTTTCAAGTGAAATAAGCAGCACCAGCACGAAGTATTGAATCACGCTGGGTTAGTCATTAGGCCCTTGAAAAAGTCAGAATTTACCTTTTAGTTTCGGAGATGCAACTGCAGAAGCCGACCTGGGACACTCGTCTACCTGAATATTTCTTCTTCCTAGGAAGGTATCTTCCCGCCTCCTCTTCTGCTCTCTAATGGCAACCTGCCTTTTCTCACCAGGTAATTTTTGGGCTTTGCCCGCCTTGTACAACACACGAAGGTTATCCATTTTTTGCCCGTGCTTTAAACGACAACACTTTGATAAGCCTTTCCCTGTCTCAACTCCTAACTCTAACCCCCCGGCCTATTCTAATCCAAAGTAAACCTCGCGAACGTCTCTACGCCTCACTCGACGGTTGAACATTCAAATTTCTGTTGAAAAATGTTGTGTACTTGTCAACGCACCGCCATTGGCTACGATTCAAACGCAAAGCCCATAACTGACCAATAGCGTGAAGGCAGAAGAACGATGTTTTTGTTTCTACACCGTGTTTTGTTTTCCAGCGCGCGGGAAATTTAAAAAGCTACGGTCGTGAGCATTATGCATTGTGCCCGTGCCTAAGCCTGAGGTGACGCGATCCCTAGTACTTGAGTATCTGTCTTTCAAATGCCTCTCTAATTTCAATTGTCCTTTTTACCAATCAGCAAGGCAAGGAATTTTCGTTTTAATGTACCAGGAATAGAATCAGATAAAATTGAAATTTCTTGTTAGTGTGTCCCAATATCCCTTCCAGTGTGTTCTGGGGATACTGCACATACCCAGTGTACTGTTTTTAACTCGAGCATGTGCAAAGTTGTTGTAGCAAAGTACAATGCATTTAACTTGCAATTTCAAAGAATTACAACAAATATTTACAGCATAGGAGAAGCAGGAATTTGGTAAGTTGTGAAGGATTAGAAGAACTTTTTTAACTTGAGCAACAAAACTTTATTTGGTGCATTATCTTAAGATTAAAAAAATAATTCAGTGCTGTCTTGACATTTTGGTCTAGTCAAATTCAACTATAAAAGATCAGACCAATTTTCACACAACACACTACAATACATTGGAAACAAATGATACAATGTTTATTAAGGGAAGAAAAATTGAATATGGTAAATGAATTAAGACCTGACACAATGGCGGGACAAAACTTATGCCATGTTTAACAAAATAGGTTTCAAGTAATATCAAGGCACTTGAAAAAATTCTCCATCAAAACTGAAATGTACATCACTGATACTGAAATACCATCTGAGAAAAGAATGGAGTCGCCATTATAAAACAAAGCATCAATGAAAAATGACCTACATACCACAAATTAACTTAATCAGAGATAAAAAAAAAAAAGAAAAAACGGGTACTGCCTTGATCAATACTACAAACAATTTAGTGTAAGTGCATCATTGATTACTTGATTATTCAACGCCTCCTCCGACGATTATCATCACTGCTGCTGCTGCTGCTACTGCTAGTGCTGGAGGAGGAGGATGATGAAGTGCTGGAATGTCGTCTGCCTCTCTTCCTTTCTGAGCGGGACTTGGAGCGAGACCTCCTCCTCTTACTACGATCCTCACTGCTTCTTCTTTTGTCTCTACGATCTCTACTCTCCTTATCCCGTCGCCTTCGTTCTTCCTCTTTTCGGCGCAATTCTTCGCGCTTCCTCCCTTCATCCCTCTTGCGCTCCTCCTCCTTACGTCTTAGATGTTCCTTCTCTTTCTCTTTTTCACGTTCTTTCTCTCGAGTTCTGTCTCTATCGTCTCTCTCTCTTTTCTTGTCAACATCTCTCATTTTCTCCTTTTCTTTCATTTCCTTGGCAAGCTCCTGTTCCATTCTTTGTTTTAGTTTCTCAAGTTCTTTGAGACGCTCTTTCTCCTTTTCTAGGTCATCATCACTTTCTGCCAATTTTTCAGCATTTCTCCTATCCTTGTCTCTTTTTTCCTGGCGGCTTTTGTCTTTAGAACTCACATAATTTTTATGTGTTTGGCTGGAAGCTCGCTTCTCAGAAGGACGGGAACCTCGTTCTTCTTCCAAGCCTCCTTTGTTTCTTGCCCTTTCAGGCGCTTTCTCTTTGTCAGATCCTCTCTTACGTTCAGCGGGTTTACCATTACGCTGAAGTCCTCTAGATTCACCATCACTTGCACCAGCCTTGTGAACTTCATCATCTTCTCCCAGATCCATGGATTCATAATCCAGTGCATTTAGATCAAGAGGTCCACTGGTGTTAGCAGATTCTTCATTATTCTTTGCAGGATTTGCTTTCTTGTTTTGATGATGTTCATCTCGTTTTCCAGATGTGTCATGAGGATCTTTAGACCTAAAAATATAATCAAAATTAAAAAAAATTTGCCAACACAACACAAATGAGACAGAATGGAGATAAACATACTTTTGAAAATGTTGTTCAGCTTCCTGCTTCAGCTTTTGAAAGTGTTCTTTCTGTTCCCGCTGTCTTTCTTCATGACGTTTCCTACGAGCATCCTCTCTCCGCGCAATTTCTTCATCTTTGGTTTTGCGTTCGGCTTCCATGCGCTGCAATAGAAATTAACATTCAGTAAAGATAAGATAAGGTACGATTTTCATTAGATTTGATCACTGACTTACTTCAAATTCACTCAATTTAATTGTGCGTTTAGCTGCTTGTTTCCAATGAGGGGGTGTAGCACTGCGAGAGCGGGAGCGGCTTCTTGATGGAGTCCGGAAACGCTGGCACAAATGAGAAGCTTGTTAATTTGACAAATTGTGTTAGAGAAAAGTGAATTCAGTTTAAATATTGATTGAAGTGAATTGGGTACTTACAAACACACCTCGTCCTTTGATGACACGTCCACTTTTAGTCATACCCCTGATTTTTCCTTTATCTGACCTATTGTCCCTATAATCTCTGTTGCCACGATCATCTCTGTCTGGTCGACCCCCTCTCTCCCTCTCTCGTGCCCTTTTGGGATCTCTTTCCCTTCCATCATTTTTGAAGTCTTTGGATCTACCGTCATCACGGTAAAGAAATTTGTTCGATGGCACTTCAGGAATTTCAGATGGATCAATTTTGGTTACAGAAACAAGTGGGTGATATTCCCCTTCTTCCTCTTCCTGATCATCTTCCTCTTTAGCAGAAGCCTTTTCTCTGGAGAAAAAACGTAGGCATTAAGATACATGGTGACCAAAAAGACATAGCCAAAATAGGCGTGGTTCATCACACAAACTTTTTGGCTTTCTTTTTCTTCTTGCTTTCTTCTTCTGATCCGCTTTCTTCTGCAGAAGCTGATGATTCAGAACTTGAACTACTCTCTGAATCTTCCTTCTTGGCTTTCTTTTTCTTTTTTTTACCTATATAAATACGTAAGGAACTTGTTAGTCATGTTGTGGCAACAGATTGAGATGATGAAAATGTACCTTATATGCAACTGTACCTTTAGATTTTGACAGAAGCACTAATTCTCCGCATTTGCTGACCTTGGCATCCTGCAGTGGGCGTGAGTTACGATCGACTGGGAGCACCTCAATCTGCGACACTACTTCTTTTCCAGCCACCACATGACCAAATACCACGTGAACGCTGAGAAGAAAAACAAGATGGTTAAAGAACTTGTGAGAAGTCTCAATATTTCAGAATCATTAAGATGAAATAATTCCCAACTCACCCATCCAGATGCGGTGCAGGTTGCGTAGTTCTAGACACAACAAAACATGATTACGGCAATGAAACGGGGGACATGTTCGTTCGTTTGTTCGCTCGGGGTAGGACGGACGACGCAGATACTCGTCCATCGACCCTCAACCTAGGCTGCCATCAAGTCCACTACATAGTGCACAAGAACAAACACCATTTGAGTCCAGCCCCAACAAGGAATACCATCATAGCATTGGTGCATATTAGAGAGTATTCAAAGTACAATTCCTAGAGTATTGGAAAGGTGAATTTTGGAGACCCAGATGATGTCTACCCTGTGCACTTCAACAAAGTTCTAACAAAATAATATAAAAGTAGGGAAAATAAGTAATGTTTAATGGTCTGTAAAAATTTGAGTCAGCAAAATCATAAGATTTAAAAGTATAAAGAAAGAAAAAAGCTGTTATACATAGTTAGAGCACACATTTCTCAGCAGAGTCAAACTTACATAAAGAACTGAGATCCATTGGTATCTTTGCCTCTATTTGCCATGGACAACAAAAAGGGTTTGTCATGTTTCATTTCAAGGTTTTCATCTACAAAAGATAAAAATAAAAATGAGCAACCATTGGATAAAAACAAACAGCACACATGTGCACAAGAAGTGCTTACTAGTGGAAAGTGACCTTACCTTCAAAGGTTCCTCCATAAATACTTTCACCACCAGAGCCATTTCCAACTGTGAAATCTCCAGACTGTATCATAAAATCACGAACAACTCTGTGGAATACTATGCCTTGATAGTGAAGAGGTTTCCCAGACGTCTTCCCTAAACCTTTCTCCCCAGTGCATAGTGCTCTAAAGTTTTCAGCTGTGATAGGGCAAATATCAGTGTAGAGTTCAAAGACTATGCGCCCCATCGGCAGCCCTCCAATTTCCACATCAAAGAAGCACCGTGGTCGAACTTCAGTTCCCACAGTCATCATGTAGGTTTAATAGACTGAAACAAAAAATGTTAAAAGAGATAAATTAAATTTTAAGTTTGAGGAACATGATCTGGTATGGTAAATGACAATTGAATGGTCGTTATAAAAATAGAGAAATATCACAGTAGAGGGGAAACACAAGTACAAAATCGAAGTTCACGCCCATTCGAAGAAAACACTAAACGGCAATACTTGAACTGAATCATGATGGTCAGAGAACCAGGACTATTTCAACAAAGATTCCATGATTGCAGCCAATAAAAATTAAAATACTTATGACCAGCTCAACATTATTCAGTGAACAGTGGAAGTATAAACCGTTTTGAATTATCAGACAAAAACGCTCTTCTACATAGCCGTTCCTGAAAATTACCACATTCACCGACGCATCGTCTCATAACCTACAGGGCTCCTGACTCAAGACCCTCGAGACCAACTTACCACAGGAAGAGATAGTTCAATAACGCACAAAAGGTGCCGCTAACAACCCAACAAACATTTAACTACCGCTGAGTCACAAAATTCAAGGTTTGAAGACATTTATCATGACGACAAAACAAGCTCATGTGTGCGTGTGTGGTTGGAGCGGAGGAGTTTGCGGTTATCGGCAGTCGGCGGCAGGGGGAGGAAGACAAGAAAGAAGAACGGAAGTATTTCGCCGCCAACGTTCAAGGTGGTGCGGGTGTCCGGACATTTTCCGGTGTCCGAGATATTTGGCATTCCAGCCGAGTCTAATTCGCTCATCCTATAAATGAATATTGCATGGTTTGTTTCTCAAATGTTCATCTCGTTTGGGTTAGATTCTGAGTGATTACTGTTTTGAGCGACATTTGGTGCCGGGTTGTTTCACAGCCTAGGGCAGGAGTGCGCGCAGGTTCAAACCGTTCAAACAGGCGCAACCCGTTTCGAGTGCGGCTGGGATACGACCCGAGAAATAAGGCAGTTGTACGTTATAAGTTCGTGTTTACCGATTAAGAAAAAAAATGAGAATGATCTCCTGTGTTGGAATGCACATACCCAGTTACTCGGAGACTGTCTGAGTATAGTTTGAGCGCAGACTGTGCTTTGATAAGTTTTGTACAGCCACATTTAGTGTTTTTATTGGAGCCAGCCGGGGAACCGGTTAGAACACGAGGAGTGGTTCTTTTATTCATTTTTAGAGGAACAGCTCAGTCTGGATCGCGAAAAGATATTTCCAGATAGGATGATTGGTGGGACTGTCGGTGTGGAGGAACGCTACTTCCCGTTGCTATGTAATCAAGACATGTAGTCAAGGTGCATTTTCTTATTCCCATGCTGTGGATTGCCAGGAAATCGTTAAACCAGGGAAACCGGGAGTAACTGGCACTTGAAATTCATACAGGATTTCCAGAAGGCGAGTGCCGAAAACAAACGGCAAGCTTTCGCAGTCTGAGCGCCTCACTCCGCGCCTCCTCCACCCC